ACTAGTTACTTTTCTCAGGTTCCAAGTTCTTATATATAATAGTTAGGACCTTATCTTAATTCTTTTTTCTAGGCTAATTATCTAGCTAGATTAATCTTTTATTCTTATAATTAATTAGGATACTAATATTTACGAATTACTATTATCCCAAAATTATATTATATTTACCTAGCCCTATAACTAGTATAGGTACTAGGACCTTCTATCTATTAATTAAGAATATAAGCTTAATATAGTAAGTAATAGATATAGCCTGCTTATTATTAAATCTCCTTATATTATAGGGTAATACTAATTAAATAGGTTTAATATTTAGAAATTATTTAATTATTCTTATAAACTTAGAATTAATAAAAGTATATTTATTTATTCTAGTATTAATAAGAGAAAAAGTCTTAATACCTAATTTATTATTACTAATTATATAAGAAAATATAAATACTTTATTTCCTAGTAACTAGCTTAAATTAACTTCTACTATATCTATATAATATGGCCCTAAAAAGAAAACTTCTTTTAGGGGTTCTTATTTCCCTATTCTATATTCTTAGATAGCTTACTTATAGTAAATACTACTAGCTTGGCTATTAAAACTTGCTTTATATATTTTATCTTGGGCTCTAGATAGTTCCTAGATATATAACTAAATCTATTATAGTTATAGTACTTGAGATCTAAGAATCCGGGCTTTAGAATAATAAGCTTATTTATTACTAGGATTTTAGGAGTAGGCTTTATATAAAAGGCATTTTCTAGGCTTGGCTTATCTATATCTTTATTAGCTTTCTTAAATACCTGTTTTTTCTTTTTATAATAAGCTCGGATTTACTAGTTATTTATAATATAATATTATATAAACTCTATAATATAAATAACCGGGTTATTATAGTATATAGCTATGGCCTCTTAGAGCTTTTAGATAAGCTTATTATTTAGGTTATTTTTAAGGTCTTATAAGTTAATATTTCCGTTTATTATATATTTTAGGAATAGAATATAGAACTCCTAAAAAATCTAATTCTTTTTTATAAATAGCTAATTAAATATTTACTAAATATTATACTCTTTATTCGGGTTACTATATAGCTTCTCTAGATAAGTATATAGTTCCCTAATAGTCTCATATATATATTAACTATTTTAGTTTAGGTAAGAAAAGATTAGTATAAAGATATAATTACTTATATAGCTAGATATATAAATAATCTTAAGGTTTTTTATTTAATAAGTATTAGAGTTATTATAGAGCTTATTCTTAATCTAAACTAACTAATTATTAAAGATAATACTATTCTTAGTTATACTTTTAAAAATAGAAAAGTTAGGGAATTTAATTAAGTATCTACTTTCTAAAATAGGGAAACTAGTTATTCTAGTAGGCTATATAATAAGCTTCTTAATAATAGCTTTATTCTTTTATAGGACTTACTTAGTTTCTCTTAGCTAATTTCGATAATTTTTATTATAAGTAAGAATATTATATATCTTTAGAATTAGCTTAATAATTTCTTTATATAAAGCTTCTAGATTCCAAAATAACTCTTGGAACTTTGCCTTTAATAAGGCAAGTTTCTCTTTTTTCTTTATTCTTTAGAAAAAAATATTTCTTTTATTATAAATATTAATAGAATACTCGGATTTCTTAAGAAACTTAATAAGAGGCTCTAGTTTACTTTCTAGTAATATATTAGTAGTATCTTATACTATAGCTTCTTTTAACTTACTTAGTTATTCCGGGACTTGCTTTCTTATAGATCTTTATTTAGTAGTAAGATTACTAGCCTATTTGCTTATCTAGCCAGTCTAGGGCTTTTTTATTTAATTATTCTAGGGCTTTCTTTTATTCTAATATTAATTAACTAGTTTAGGAATAGCTATAATATATTATATTTATACTTATTAAAAACTAATTAAATAAGTATTATTTAAATCCTTTATAGGATTAAGAAATAGGTAAGCTTTAAATTATATTACGAGTATAAGATCTAGGGCCTAGAAAATATAGTTAGATTATTTCTATTTTAATAATTTAAAGCTAAAGAAAGAAAAGAATCCCGAAAGAGCCTTGGATCTAAATAATTATAAGCTATATATGAGCCTATATACTAGCTTAAGCTCGGGGTTATATATAATAATCAGGTAACTATAAATGCCTTATTTAGATACTAGATACCTCTCTAGCTCTAGTCTAATTCCTACTAGTATTATATATTATAATAACTATAATACTAAATTTCTAAAGCTAAGCCTTTTTTAATATATATATAATTTATAATAAGTTTATAAAAAGAGTTTAGTAATAAAGATATTTAAATATCTAGTTTAGATACTAAATATTTAGTTCAAATATCTAGTTAAAATACTAGATACTAAATATCTTAGATATTTAAGAATATTAAAGATATTAAAGTAAATATTTTACTTTTAAATATTTTATTTATAATAAGAAATTTAGGAAATAAAATATTATAATTCCGGAAAAATCTAAAGCTTAAAGAACTCGATTTATTAGTAAAATTAAAGTAATAATTAAAGAGCTTTAAGAATATATATAGGATATATATTCTAGAGAAAGTATTTTATAAATATAAATATTATATAAATAGAAAAAAGAAGTTCTAAGAAAGTAATTTTAGGGCTAAAAGAAGTTAGTTTTAAAAGATAATAAATAGTTAAATAAATAATTAAATAAATAACTAATTATTTATTAATTAGTAAGAACTAAAGTCTTTTCTTTTAGATTATTAGATATTTTATAAAATTAATAAGTAATTTCTCTTTTTAATAAAGTAATTATTAGTTTTTAATAAGAGCTAGCTATTTTCTTTTTTAGGCTACCGGATATTTTATAAAATTAATAGGTAATTTCTTTCTTTAATAAAATAATTATTAGTTCTTAATAAAAGCTAGTTATTTTCTTTTTTAGGCTACTAAATACTTTAATATTTTATAAAATTAATAGGTAATTTCTTTCTTTAATAAAATAGTTATTAGTTCTTAATAAAAGCTAGTTATTTTCTTTTTTAGGCTATTAGATACTTTATAAAATTAATAAGTAATTCTTTTCTTTAATATAGACTAGTTTAATTTTATTATAGGCTATTAAATATTTCTTTAGCTTAAAAGATTCTATTTTCTAATTTATATATATAAACTAATTAGTATTAGTTTATTAGTAATATATAATACTATTATATAATTATAAAAATACTAGTTATATTAATTAGTAAAGTTATTATTATTTAGAAATAAAAATTATAATATTATAATATTAATATATAATTCCTAAATTTACTAAGCCTAAAGAAATCTAGTTTACTAGTTAAGTTATTTATAGAATATAAAATTATATAATTATATCTTATATTTTATATTTTATTATTTATATCTTATATCTTATATCCCGTAACTATATATATAATTCCTAAAAAAATAATTATACTAATAATAATACTAGATTTATATATTTGAAATTATAATTTTAAAGTTTTATAATAATTTATTAAATAAATATTATAATATTAATAAAGTAATATTTTTATTTTTATTTAATTATTTAATAAATATATATAAAATATAAATAAGAAATTTAAAATATTAAGCTTTTTTAAGCTAATATATTAAAAAAATATATACTTATATTTTTATAGTTTCTTATATTTTAGTTTTCTTTTTTTTAATTTTAAATTATTTTTATAAGAAATCTTTTACTTTAATTTTTAAGCTTTAAATATTATATTTATAATAAAGTAGAATAAAAATAAGAGAATATAAGCAAAATTATGATTTTTTGGGTATTATATTAGGGAGGGAGAGGAGAGAGGCAGGGGTGGGGCAGGGGTGGGGCTCATGCGAAAATCAAAAAATCAGAAAATCACTTTTCGCTTGCGCGTTTTGTCGACTAGCCCGCTAATGGCCTCAGTAAGGCCACATTACATTGCGCTTGACATTGTGCAGATTACAATCCAAGTTTTCGCTCTTATTATTCTTAAAACATTGCAATACTCTAACTTAGAAAGCTTAGACTGTGCGAATATATATTTCTTCCTATTATCTTTAATTTAGATTAGATATAATCCTCTAATCAAAGATTTTTATATAAGAAAAAATAAAAGTTCTTACCCTAGTTACGCGTCTTCTCGCTTAGAAATTATGAGAGTATTCACGATCTTTGTTCTTCTTAAATTCTTACAACTTTTGTAAAATTTAAATAAATAGAAATTTTTAAACTTATATATAAAGGATTATAATATAAATCAAACTAATAATCATTTTAAAAAAAAGTTATATATTAAGAAGAGTTCAAGAGGAGAGAGAACGCAGAGTAAAGGACTTATAAAGTCTGCGAAGTGCGAGCCTAGAGCAAAACCGAGAGAGTCTTTTACTCTATTATAAATATAAATATTAAATTAGTATATTAATGGGCAACTTTTAATAAATAATATCGTAAGGAAGTAAAGTATTAAATAAAGTACTTAATAGATTAATTAGAATTTTACGAGTAGGTTGAATTCTATTAATTTATTAAGCTTGTAAGAGTGAAAGTATGAAGTGCAATGGTGATGTGGCCCGACAGGGGTTCTAGGCCTCAGGAAGTAGGGCACTTGGGTGGTTACGAGGGGATTCAGCAGCCGGAATAGGTCCCTCTTAACCAGGGTGAAGGTTAATGTACTTTCGGTGGTTGGTTGCGCGGGGTATTCAGCGCACACTGATCGCGAATCTCAGCAGGGTGACGATCCCAGGCCCGGTTGGTTGTACTTGGGTACCCCCTCATAACGAGCATACCAAAGAAATAACCTCTGCCACCTTCTCGATTCAGAATATTGAGTTTCCACATGTAACGTCCAAGTGAAAGCAGTCAGACGATCGCAATCTTAACAATGCAGGTCCATCCCAATTACTATTGCTATATCTTTGCCCCGCGTCCTCGTCGGTACTTGAACCGTTGGTAGCGTCTTTTCTTGTGCCCCTGATTATAGTTCCCCAGATCTTTAGTCACAATGGCATTCACTTGCCGTGGTTTGGCAGCACTTGCTTTGCTGATCTCTTCTGCTATTGCGCAGAACTCTACGAACTCAACCAAGTCTGCTATTGATGCGAACTATGATGTTCTCACTTATGTTAACCAGCTGATTGGAAGTAGCAATGGAGGTATACAAACCCCCTCGGAGTTCTCATGAAATTTAAAAGCTGATGTCCGACAGGAAATGTTTTCCCCGGAGCAACGCTCCCTTTCGGTGAGCACTTTAAGAGCAAGAGTTATTGAGAAATGGCTAACATAATATAGGGATGGCCAAAGCAGTTGCGGATACAAACTCAGGTAGCAATCAAGGTGGCTTTACTACAGACGGAAGCCAAATCACAGGTTTCTCTGGCATGCATGACTCTGGAACAGGTGGATCACCATCCCTCGGCAACTTTGCCCTCTTCCCGTTCTCAGGATGTGCTGGAGATGACGTGAATGGCTGCCACTATCCAAAGAAAGAGCGAGCAACTTCCTATGTGAATGGCTCGGTCATAGCTACACCTGGATACTTCGCTGTTCAACTGGCAAGCGGAATCCAAGCAGATATGACTGTAACTCAGCATACATCACTGTTCAGATTCAAGTTCCCAGCCAGCCAAACTAGCGGCAACGCATCAAGTCCGTTGATTCTTATCGACTTGACGGATCTTTCGGATTCTCGACAGGATAACGGCACCATCTCAGTTGATGCTGACTCTGGAAGAATCACCGGAAATGCACGATTCCAACCCAGCTTTGGCAGTGGAACTTACATCTCGTACTTCTGTGCAGACTTCTCGGGAGCACCACTTCGAGACAACGGCATCTTCGTGGATAGCAGAGCAAGCACTGAAGTCAAGGATCTTCTCATCTCGCGTTCAATCAACGGGTACCCATTGCCTGGAGGAGCATTTAACCGATTTGAAAAGGCTGACAATGGAATTCTGGCCAGAGTTGGAGTCAGCTTAATCAGCAGTGAGCAAGCTTGTTCCAGCGCTGAAAAGGAAATCTCAGATTTCGACTTTGATAAAGTCCATAGAGCGGCAAAGAGCTTGTGGAGGGAAAAAATAAGCCCCATCAAGGTCTCAACAAACGGAACAACGACAGATATGTTAACCAACTTCTACTCTGGAATCTACCGCACTATGGTAAATCCTCAAGATTACACCGGAGAGAATCCGCTTTGGGAGAGCGATGAGCCGTATTTTGATTCTTTCTACTGCATTTGGGACTTGTTCAGATCGCAGATGCCATTTATGACGATCATGGATCCAGGCACGGTTACACTCATGATCCGGTCTCTGATCGATACGTATCGCCATGAGGGATGGTTGCCTGGTAAGTTTGTCCCCAGAATGATTTGATATTTCTCGATTTTGGAGCTTAGCTTTTCAGCTCATAGATTCCCTCTTCAACATCAGGAAACTTCCCTACTAATTCGACGATAGACTGCAGGATGAGCTTGTCTAAAGGGTTTACTCAAGGAGGTTCAAATGCTGACAATGTTCTTGCCGATGCCTACTTGAAAGGTATCTCTGAAAACGTCAACTGGGATGATGGTTACGACGCAGTAGTCAAGGACGCTGAGGTCGAACCATATGATTGGTGTTGCGAAGGACGCGGTGGTTTGGATAGCTGGAAAGCCCTTGGCTACATTCCCGTCCAAGACTTCGACTACAAAGGCCACGGCACTATGACAAGAAGCATCTCCAGGACACTTGAGTATGCCTACAACGACTTCGTGATCACGCAAATTGGTTCCGGGCTAGGTGGTAGAGTAGGAGACGTTGAGAAGTATACGGCGAGGAGTGGGAGCTGGAAGAACTTGTTCAAAGCTGACCAGACTTCTTCTATCAACGCTTCTAGCGCTGTTTTTGAAGGTTTCTTCCAGCCGCGATACTTGAATCGTACTTGGGGTCTCCAAGACCCTCTTGTATGCTCGAACATTGATAACCACTCGAACAGCGTTTGTTCCTTACAAAGTAATGCTGCGGAGACTTTTGAGTCCTCGATTTGGGAGTACTCCTTGTAAGACAACCCAGCCGCTTTCCACAAATTACAACTGACAGGAACTCTTGATAGCTTCGTCCCGCATGATCAAGCAACTCTAATAACCATGTTTGGCGGACCTGCAGCATTCGTGGAACGTCTCGACTACCTCCACGAAAACCAAATCACATACATCGGAAACGAGCCAGCGTTCCTCACAGTCTTCCAATATCACTATGCTGGCCGTCCCGCACTATCTGCCAAGAGATCGCATTACTACATCCCAGCTTACTTCAAGCCAACGAATGGCGGACTGCCAGGCAACGATGACAGTGGGGCAATGGGCTCATTCGTCGCATTATCCATGATCGGACTCTTTCCCAACCCAGGGCAGAACGTCTACCTGATCATCCCACCGTACTTCGAGAAAGTGGAAATCACCTCGCCTCTCACTGGCAAGACGGCGAAAATAAAGAACGTCAACTTTGACCCAACGTACAAGAATATCTACATCCAATCTGCAAGACTCAACGGAAAGCCATACACAAAGAACTGGATCGATCATTCGTTCTTTACAGAAGGGAAAGAGCTGGTTTTAATATTGGGAAGTGTGGAGAGTAGTTGGGGAACAGAGGTCGCGGATCTACCGCCGAGTTTGGGAGAGTATGAGGGGTTTGGTAATTTTACCGGAGCGTCAAATTCCACTTTGAAGATGGGGAAGAGGGCTATGAGGTTTTCTGCTGCGAATATACTTCATGAGATGGACAAGACTGGTGATGGTTACTGGGCGAATTAGAAGAATGAAAGCAGTCAAATGTTTGAAGAGAAATTGAAAATAAGGACGCGATAAATGTTCGGTGGTTTTTAGAGGGTTGATTTCTTGTAGAATAAATTTTAAGCGCTTCTTGGTAGAACTTTGTTCTCCTTATTGCAAGTACAGCCGCACCTGCAATTTGATCTGCGTAGTGGCTGACTCGAAAGCAAAGCTCCGCTCTGATCCACTTGGAAAGTTGACCCAAAATCCAGATCATAGAGTATTACCTCATTGCAAGCACTCGAAAATGGCTACGTGTCAGGGAGGAGCATCGCCATTTGTCAACGACTTCGCCAAATCAAGCAGCATGCAGCTCACAAAATTTACTCAAAAGCGCCGCCATCTCAATCGCGACATCGCGATTCGCTTCCACGTTCTCGTCCCTTTGTATCTTTGCCATAGCTTCCTCTCGCTGTTCACTGGCTTCCCAGATAAAATCGGGTGGGTTCGACTCACTATGCCGTACAAATGATTAGCGCTTCCCCAAGCCAAGCAAGAGTGTAGAAGAAGAGGCTTACCCGAAAAGAACGGGCACCGACTTCCGTCGTTGTGCCTTGTTGTGATGTCTGTAGATTCCGATGTTATGATGGATTCCTGCTTCGTTCAAGGGGCAATTAATGATGCGGCAGGGGTTTGAAGGCCCGAACCGGACTGTTGGTGGCATGGGGAGGGATTTCGTCCTTGAGAGAGTGGTGGGTTTGGGATTAGATGTCATTGTGATGGGCTTGGTTCAAATTGAAAAGGCACTCGGTGGAGCTGCAAGATAGACTTGGTACACGACAGACACCTTCGGAGGCGACTTGGGGAACGAGGGACAGAGCGTAGACTTGTGGAGAAACAAAATGAGTAGAGACATGTCCTTTGGTGTTATAGATTTTGAAGTTCAAAGAAATCTTGTTGAAGAAATGGGATGCGTAGAATGCGGGGTGGACCGATTCTTTGAAGGTTTACATGCAAGCGTCAAGATGGCAACAAAGAAGTGAAAACCGAGGCTGCACAACATATGAAAGTGAAGTTTAAAGGAAACTTCATGTTGCCTCCCTGCCCAAGAAAATAATTCATCCCCACTGTTGTCAGACTTCCGAAAAGTTGGCATCCGAAACTCAAGCTGAGCTTCTCCAACCATTGCCAGCTGGAGCAATAACGGAGATGAAGCCAAAACAAGAAAGGCAAAGACACGTCACAATTTTTCTCGTTTTATTTAGCGCTCGGTGTCCTTTACAGACTTGTAGTTGGTGCTATGTTTGTTATCGAGTTCCTGAAAGACTGAGCTGAACTCGCCGCGCGGCTTCCTGAATTCGGTGACGAAACCAAAAGAAGTATCAGCAGGCGAAATCTAGAAGCTCCATTTCTTGCCAGCTCTTCGTAGCCTCTAGATTCAGCGCACTGCGTTTCCACGAGTGATAGAAATGCCGAGCTGAGATGAGCCACTTGCTCAACCCCGGGATTGGAACCAAAACAGGATATAAAGTATGAACTAGGTTGAGTTCTGCTCTCAATGAAAGAAGGCCAGGCCAGATGAAAGATGTGGCTTGATGTGTCAATTGCTGACTCCAGTCTCAGCTCTGTGGACCTTGGTGGGGCAGCTGCGTGCCGAGACAAATACCACAAAAGCAAGAAGGAGGAGGCTAATCACTATTATCCAGTAACCGGACTTCCAGCACTAGCGAAAGGCTTATCTTGCTCCACACAGAAAGGCACTCTTAGGCCGAGAGCGATGGTGAGCTTCCCGTCTCGAAGAGCAATCAATGCCTATCGGCATTGCCGCAGATGTCCGCGTCCCTGACAGTACTCGAAGTTTCGTATTATGTTCAAATGAAAAAGATCACTCGACCAATACCCAGCAAATGCGATCAGAATTGTTCTCGCACCTTTGTAAAGTCTCTAAACGGGATGAAAAGTGATGCTCTTGGAAGATGAGGCTGGGATAAGTGGGGCAATTTAACGCTAAATGAACTAGTCTCCTTTGGGGAAGGCGTTGGCGTCAACCAGACAGCTGGATTTCAGATGAGACCACAGAAGAAACCTGAGTGTCACCGCCACGAATCCATTATCCTCACATCAAGACCCTGGTCGAGTCAGATTTTTCGTTTCCGCCCCATCCAAGCGCTTGACAGCTCCACGTGTGGGGTCGGGGACCTCCAGCGGACAGGAATCTCGAGCCCCGAGAGGACCAGCCTTGCAGTTCACGGCCAGTGCATCGAATAGGGAGATGCATCTCAAGCCCCCCACTTCGACGCCGCGAACTCCGGACAAGGCGACTCGGCGGTTCATGGGTGTTAGCCACTTCAAGGAAATGGTCATAACAGCTCCGCTCGAATAATGGGGTGCTGTCACAAAATTGGTCTTGATCGAGTGGTTGCCTATTTGGATTCCTGTCCAAAGACTTGCTGAGTGGTTTTGAAGCCTCGAAGTGCATATCCAGAGAAGACTCAAAAGTACAGCACCTTTTCCGAGCACCATGAAACGATGCTGTTCCGTTTTCAAAACCTGCAATCAATCTCCACTATGGTCATTGGTCTCAGGGTTGTATCCGGAATGCGATGCCGGTAGGCAGAGACAGCTGGCTTTCTTGCGTGCAACGTGGCTTGGGTATGTGGAAGCCTGCGGCTGAGATAGGTCTCGTCCACGGGCGGGGACGCTGAGTCCTTGCTGTCAGCGGGAGATCAAAACAAGCATCTTGCAGTCTGCGCTGCCAAGATCTGCCCATCGTCGTCTGTCCCAAGCCATGTAAGATATTCGAGAGGTACCTAAGACACTTCAATCGATCTCAGACTGGGACACATTGTACCCAAGATAGTCCTTGGACCTGCAATTTTCTCACAAATTCGATATTACGGAGCTTTCCCCCGTTCTAGCAGAGTTGTCAATCCGTTTTCCAGCCCTTATTGGAGGAACGTGGTTTAAGGTTGCAGACGCCCAGACAGAGTCTATCACGTTGCGGCGTCCCCGCTTCAGCTCCCTCTTTTTCGCCCAATCTTAGCCTTTTGGCAACATGCAAGCTGTGGGTTGCACGATGACCAGTGAGAACTGGTCTCTCGTTTCTGCAGAGAGACGGCGACTGAGGTGGTTTGCCCCGCTTCAAGGAGCAAGAAAGAAAGAATAATATCCCTAATAATTGAAGCGATGCCTTCGATCAAAGGAGCTGGAGCTGAATATCAACAAGTACCTTTTTATAATTTGCAACATCTTTCCCATGTCAGTCGAAACAGACAACGACTCTGTGATGGAGACGAAAAACAGGGAAGCAGTCCCAGACTCGAAGAAACCCGGGCGAGGCTGGAGGTTCTACGGCACCTTTGCATGTCTAGCACTTCTCAATTTGATTTGTGCTATTGATGCTACGATTCTTGCAGTGGCCCTTCCTGTACGAGAACTCCACCGAGCCTTGAAGACATACTTACTGACTCTGGTGAAGACTATTGCCACAGCTTTAAACGCTACGGCTATTCAGGCCTTTTGGTGCGGCACATCGTTCCTGTTGTGCTCTACAGTATTCCGTACACAACCTATTCCTTTGTCATATTCCCCGAGCTCCTTACCTTACCAATCGTGAGGATGTTTCATGCTCCTTACTGGCTCCCGACTCTCTCCTCCCTAAAAGAAATACGTTGCTGATTTACCGGTATTGCCGGTAGAGCCGACGTGGGCTTCGTTTTCGCATATGATCGGACGAAAGTCTGTTCTCCTGGCTGCTCTGTTCCTCTTCACTGCAGGGACAATCATCGCTTCCGTCGCTAGGACTATTACACATTTGCTGGTTGGGCGGTGCTTCCAAGGATCAGGAGGTGGAGGTCTTGTCGGGTTGACTTACGTGTTACTAGCAGATCTGGTAAGCCTTCGAGAGCGAGGCAAATGGATGTCCATCATCAGCTTGCAATGGGCCATTGGAAGCGTAATAGGACCAGTTATCGGAGGAGCAATGGCTCTTGACACTACATGGCGGTGGATCTTTTGGCTCAATATTCCGTTCTGCGTACTGGCGGCCGTCGGAGTTCCAATTTGTCTGAAATTACATCCGAGAGAAGGGTCGGTATGGGAGAGACTCAAAGATTTTGATTGGTTTGGCTCTTTCATATTCATCGCTGCGACTACAAGTTTCCTGATTCCAATCACATGGGTAAGCTCCCGTGTACCTCTCCGGAAGCGTCGCACTAATATTTTTAAAGGGGGGCGTTATGTACGAATGGAAATCTTGGCGAACACTCGTCGTAGGTGTTGGGGGAGAAACCCTTTCCTATTTGTGACTGTTCCATGAGATTTTCCTAAGACAATGTCCTCTCCCGAAACAAACCCAATTGAGAAATTGCTGACTCCCCCGTTATCTAGCCAATGATGCTCGGAATCTTTGGACTGCTCGGCTTCATTGTATACTCCGTCTCCTTCTCCTCAGAGCCACTTATTCGCCGCAGTCTTTTCAATTCTCCGACCGCCATTACCGCATATGCAGGGACCGTTGTTCACGGCATGATCGTTTGGGCTCTCCTTTATTACATGCCTCTATTTTTCGAAGTGTCCAAGAACTATAGCCCGGTCACCTCGGGTGTTGCAATCTTCCCATTCACGTTTACGGTCGCTCCTGCGGCTGTTGTAGTCGGAGTCGTGATTGCTAAGACAGGTCGATATCGACCCTCAATCGTGAGTGCAAACACCTCAAATGCTACCTCAATACTGACTTTGCCTAGTGGATCGGCTGGTTCCTCACTACATTCGGGATGGGAGTCTTGATTTACCTGAAACAATCAACCAACGTACCCTCCTGGATCTTCCTGTCCCTCGTTGCTGGTACGGGCACAGGGATGCTTTTTTCTGCCCAAGGCTTCGCAGCTCAATGTTCGGTCTCGAACGTAGACCTTCCCTTCGCAGGCGCAACCTACAGCTTCTTTCGAGCTTTTGGGCGTAAGTCAAAAGTTCTCCGATAATTGTTTCCTACTTCACATGTCTTGCGAGTTCTTACTCTCAACCTCTGTCTAAGACGTGTCTCAACTCCTAATTCTATGTATTAAAGACAATACTGATCCGAGACTCTGAGTTTAGAAACATTCGGCGTTGCTATCTCTGGCGTTATCTTCCAAAACTCTTTCAAAACTAAAATCCTCGGTACACCATACGCCTCACACGCGATTGAATGGTCTCGTGACGCCTCCGCATTTGTTCAGGTTGTCAAGATGTGGAGTAGAGAGGGAGAGCAGGGTGTTGTGAGACAAGCGGTTGTCAATGCTTATGTTGAGAGCTTGAGGATGGTCTGGATTGTGATGTGTATTTTCGCTGGGGTGATTTTTGTCGCGAGTTTGGTGTGGATTGACGAGATTAGCTTAACGAGGGAGCTGGAAACGGAGCAAGGCTTTCGTTATGATGGGAAGAAGGGTGCGGATGAGGAGCAGCAGCGGCCCGGATTGAAGGTGCTAGAGATTAAGACGGAAGAGGAGGCTGGAATGGAGATTAAGAACGTTTCGACTGATGAGTTCGGCACGAGCTCGATCGAATAGTGGGTAATGGGCAATGGCAATTGATTAGGTTGGATAAGGTAATTTTGAATTAGGCGTGTATTGCCGTTTAGTGATTATACGTACGCGGCACAATTGTGATGGGCCGGAATTGCATACTAGGCAACAGGGTGTATTTACCTTTCCTTTCCTTTGGCCCTACAGATACCCAGGCAATAGAAAATGACTCCAATTAAATGTCTTAAGCCCGTCTACCACAACCAAATGTACGTCCCTTCTTTTCAACCAAGCACCTTCCCCCGTCTACAAAAGCTCCTTTTAACCTTGCACAACGTACTGTACGACAAGGGTACATCAAGTAAGGTGCCTCTAATTAGCCACTCTTGCAGACTCCCAACTGCTTCACTCCTCACAGTATCTCCTCCCTCGGCCCCTCTCCAATTTCAACAACTATCCTGTCCATACTCACGGCCGTCCTCTCCGCCAAGCTTTCCATCTCTACGATAGAACATGTCGTCAAAGCAGAATACACATAACACGCCTTCTCCGGGCCAAAGACATCTGACTCTTTCTCGCAAAATTAGATTCTGGCCGGAAGTTAAGTAGTCGCCCCATGGTGAAAAGGGTGTTGAGCCCGTTGGGATATCGGTGTGCCTCATGACGCGGTTAAAGATTTGAAAGGAGGTTTCAGGATGGTAGTATGGAACTGAGATTTGCTGTTAGCCGCAGGAAGCGAACGAGAGAAGGGGAAGCAAACCTCCATAAGCAGCATCGAATATGAGAGAGAACGATAAATTGCCAAATTGTCGAACCACACCTCCTACGTAGGTAGATCGGGGGTTGTGTGGCCGACATCGAACGCATCGTGCTGAACCCTTGTCAGTGAAGAGATCTAAAAGGTTGCAAGGGAGACTTACCCCGAAGCCAGGTACGCAGCTTCGTTGTTGAGGTAGCACCAACCATATGCCGCCGAATAGGCACTGTTCTCTGTAGCATTGATCCCCATATTGCCAGGATCATAAATATCTGCTACGGCCCGGCTCTTCTGAATCATTTCCAAGCATGTGGTGGCGTTGTCTCTTGCAACAGGTACGCTTCTTCCGAGATCGCTTGGACATCATAAGTGTTGTGGTACGCCGTGTCCGGGTAAGAAGTTGCAAGAATATCAAAGTCCATCCGACCATTGGTGATACCGAGTGTGTCAAGATGGATGGGAACGGCATCGCTCAATTTCCCAGTGGTAATCTTGTCGTTCTGGTCTTGGATATATGCAGCAAGTCCGATGCCCCAGTGACCCGCGTACGACTCACCCCAAATTCCCAGTCTGTTGTTGTGAGAGGTGCAATGAGGGGATCTAAAATCTTGTGAGCCAGGGCCAAGCATAATATTGGGCAGAGTTACTCTTCTAGCCAGGTCTGTAGGAAGCTGCAGACAGCTGTAGATGCATTTCCAGTTGAGTTCTCTGTGTTGTTCCAATCGAGAGATGGGGAAGTGCCAACGAAGAATGTTTCGTTTTGCTTTGGTACCCAGAGATTGAAAAATTAGATATGACAGGTAATAATGTAGTTGACAATGCGTCCAGAGTTCCGTTTCCCAAAGTATCATATGAGAAGCCAACTTGGTTTGGTTGGTCGATGAACAGCATATTGACTTCGTTGTTCTAGGACCAGGGATTCAACTGCGTAGGATTGGAATCGTTTCGGACAATGGAGAGACCAGTTTTCACCCAGTGCAGAAGCCATTGACGATGATCCTGGCCCACCATTGAACCAGATTGCAAGGGGAGCATGGGGAGGGTCTTTCCGAGATTCGAAGAACCAGAAGAATGTTTTGATAGAGTACGATCATTAACCATCTAGAGGAAGGTGGACATCACCGCTCCAAGAACGAACACCAGGTGTAGTCTCGCAAATGAAGGTCTAGATTCAGTCAATGAACGGAAGAGAGTATAATCCGACAGAATTTTCCCCTTATATGAGACCGCAATATCATTGTGAAATCTCGGTTTCAAAACCGTGACGCCTCCAACAGGAGGAAACTGTGCAATGACGACATGGAATAGAAGTGCATTGAACAGTAAGAGAGACAAGAAGGAAGCAATGATAATGAAAGAGAAGAAACGACTGTGAAGGTAAGCAAGAGAGAAGAGGGAAGCAATGACATGATGGACCTTTATTCTCCCATGCCATTGAAACCATGTTGCTACGAATACAATCTGCCTGTGATATTCTCATAGGAGCGAGGTGATCACTAAGAAGCGAGATGGCCACTCAGAATGAGGCTGTGATATTATAGTTTCCACTGTCCTGGTGTCAAGTTTGTCAAATTCAGGTGGTTGGAAGCCTTGATTGTCTGATTATCGAAGGCTGGGAAGCCCCTTAATATAGGACAAATCCACTAGTCTCCTACTAGTCCCCAGCCCCCTGGCTGCCTTAGGCCCATAAGCTTGGCGCCTTTCAACAAGGTTTTGATTGTCATCTGTTTGAGGCATGCGTGCGGAGGGTACTAGGGTACGGAAAGCCGTAAGGATCAAGTGATCAAGCGATTTTCGAATCCGGTTTTCAATGTCTGATTTGTGGCACGTATGCACCCCACCAAAAATCGCCCGCAACCAAAATACCGCATTCTGCATGTGCAACCACACCTAACTTAAGTTCCTTTATTACTATCTATTATAAGACTTATATATATAATTAAATCATATTTCTAAGTATAGATAATTTATAATATAATTAACTATAATACTTCTAAATTATTCTTATAAGGTTATACTAGCCCCGTACTATTACCTATATATTCCTTTATTTCTTCTCTCTACTCTTACTAATATATAACTAGCTTTATATATATAAAATATATATAAAAGAACGGAATTATGTCAGATTAGAGAATTAGTTATAGAGAATATACTTGAAATAGCTAGTTAGTAGGAGGCATATCTAAAACCGGCAAAAATAAGTCAAGATATATAAAGTTACTAGTTTATAGAAGGCATATCCGAAACCAGTAATACCAAATAAGGATATACTTAGAGTAGCTAGCTAGTAAGAGATATATCCGAAACCGGTAGTAATAAATAAGAATATATATAAAGTTACTAGTTAATAAAAGATATATCCGAAACTAATAGTAATAAGTAAAGATATATTATAGAATAACTTAATATAAATTTATACCTAAAATAGAAATAGATAATTCCTTTAATTCTTTAATATAAAGAGGTTTTCCTATTATATTCTTATTTCCTAGATTATTATCTTTATTTCCTTTTACTTTTATTCTTAATCTAATCTTTTTAAAACTACCTTTATCTAAGACTTTATATATTATAATACTATAGCCTACTATAAAAAGTACTAAAAGCAAAAGGATATTAGTTTTTTTTATAGCCGCTATAATACTATTTTTTTCTCCTTAAGCCCAACCAAATTTACCTTAGAGAAAAAGCATTTATAAAAGGCCTATAAGCTAAAGTTAAAGCCTTTTATTTCTCGCTTTTCCAAGAATAATAAGAGAAATAATAATAATAATAGTACTAAAGAAGTAAATACTAGAAATTAGTATACCTATTAGGCTAAGTTTTAAAAAAATAAGAAAAAGAAAGAAAAGAAAAAAAGAAAAAGTAAATAAGAAAGAAAAAAGAAAATCTCTAAAAAACTATTACTAGAAATACTTTTTATAATATATAGGAAAATAATCTCGCCTTTACTAGAAAGAAGAAAAAGAAATTAAGGCTTTAGGAAAGAACTTTAACTAAGGCTTATAGTTAGTAAGAATTAAAAATAAAGGAAAATAATAAGAGAAAGTATAATAAAGAAAGGCTAACTAGTAAATATAGTTATAATTCTACTAATAAACCTTTACTAATAGGCTTATTAATAACTATTTATTATTATATTAGCTATCCTAGAAAGCTATTTAAATAAACTAATTCTTTAAAACTCCTATTTTTTCTTGACTTTTATAAGATATTTATAAGGCTTAGTAGCTAGATACTTAATTACCTCTTAAAATCTAATATCTGGAAAGATATTAGAAAAGCTAAATACTATAAACTTAATCTTAAAAATTAAAGCCTAATTATAGGCTATCTTACTAGTAGAGTTACTTATTCTAAAGTTCCGGACTTCCCGGTTCTATTTAAAGAAAATTATACTTTTAAATAGTTCCTTAAATATATAAAGAAAATATATCTTAGTATAAATTATTAAGAACCCAAACTCTACTTCCTTATTTCTATTAAAAAAAAGTAGCCTTTATAGAATTATTAATTATATAAAGAGCTAATAATTAATTTAATAATAACTTCTAATACTAATAACTTATTAAAAACCCTTAATACTAATAATTCTAATAGTAATATAATTAGAAATAATTATATATTTAAAAAGAAATAATATTAGTATTAAAATACTAGTAAATAACTTAGTATTATTTATTAAGAGAATTATAAGAGATCTAAGTCTTTATATACTCTAGCTAATAAGCTTATTCTAGTTACTAAAACTCTAGCTAATAAGCCTACTTTACCTAATAAGCTTACTCTAGTTACTAAGTCTATTCTAGTTACTAAGCCTATTCTAGTTACTAAGCCTATTCTAGTTACTAAGCCTACTTTAGTTACTAAGCCTACTTTAGTTACTAAGCCTATTTTAGCTAGTAATTCCGAGAAGTTCTTTAATAAAATATTTAATAAATAATATAAGTAGCTAAGAGAATCTATAATAAAAAATTATATTAATAGGTATTAGTATATATTAAAAAAGAGGCTAATGAATTTTAAAAAAGAAAAGAAGTAATTTGAAATACGAAAATAGAGCTTTAAAAAAAAAAAAATATAGTAATTAAAGAAAGTAATACCTATATAAATAGGCTTAATAAGAAAGTATAGCTTTTAAAAGCTATAAGAAAGAAATTTGAAATTAAAAAATAAAGTCTTACTAAAATCTATATAAAGAATCTTAAGAAGCTAAATATAAAGATATTTTTTTTTCTTTTAGAAGATTCTTAAGGCAAGATAATTAAAGAAAAATAATTATTTATAAGTTTAAAATATCTTAATAATCTTATAAAAAAGAATTTAAAGATTATAAACTTATAAAAAGAAATAAGGCTTATAATAGAGGCTCTTTAATAAAGTCTTAACTATATAATACGAAATAAGAAAAGGCTTAATAAGCTAGTTATTTAGTAAAATAAAAGTAAAAGCTTAATATTTACTATATAGAAAGCCTTTTAGGTAACTATATAAAAGATCTAGAATAAAGGCTCTAGATCTCTCGAAATAACTAGGCCTAATATTAATAAAAGCTTTTTATAGTCTATTAAAAGTAAAAAGAAAGTATATAAGTAATAAGAAACTATCTGGATTTCCTAATATTATTAAATTAGTTATATTAAGAATCTTATTACTTTAGTAACTAGTTAAATTAGGAATATAAAAAGTAATATTTACTTATTTCTAATTAACTAATTTCTAGTTAATTTCAAGAACCTAGAAATTATATAATTATATATCTTTTTTCTCTAGCTATATAATACTTCAAAAAACAAATATTATATATTTACTATAATAAAAAGCTTTATTATTAACCTAATTAGGTAAGATATAATATTATCTTATTATATTACTAGCTATTTATATAGCTATTTTATAAGTATTTTAATATTCTCGAATCTCTATATATAGCCTAGTCTATAAACTAAAATAGCTTTATATTTAGTAATATTATAATTTAATTTTTAATATAAAAATATATTAGGTTTAGTTTTTTTAATAGTATTATTATTAAATTATTATTTCCTAGAAATATTAAATAATACTTTTCCCTAAAAAATATATATTCTTAATAAATAGTAAAAGTAAATATAAAATTTAATAATATAATTATCCTATACTAGTATTTTTCTTTTTTTTTATAAAAGTATAATTTTATTTTATTTTTATTCTAAAACCTCTATTTTTCTTTTATATTTTTTTAACTTTATTATTAATACTAAGAGCTAGTATCTAATTACTTATAACTTTCTTTTCCTTTTTTAAATCCTTTTTCTTTTAATTTTTTCTTTTTTAAACCCCTTTTTCTTTAATTCCTTCTTCTTTAAACCTTTTCTTCTTTAAACCCCTTTTTCTTTAATCTCTTCTTTTTTAAACCCCTCTTTCTTTAAACTCTTTCTTTTTTAAATTTCTTTTCTTTTAACTCCTTTACTAATAATACTAAGAGCTAGTACCTAATTATTACTTCCGGGTTACTTTTATCCGGAACTTTTATACTATAAGTCTTTAATCTACTTATTTCTTAGAAAGCTAAATTTTAGATTTCTTTTTTCCTTTTCTAATATCTCTTATATCTTTAGGCCCTTTAGGAATATTTTCTCTTAAACTTCTAAAAAGAGGCTAACTTCTATTCAGATTTCTCTAAACTTTAATATCTTTTTTTCTTCTCTAATATCTTTTCTTTTTCTTTAATACTTATAAAAGCCTTTAGGCTATTACTAAATACCTCTATTCTTTATCTTAAAATATATACTAACTTATTTTTATAGGAAATAGCCTTTCTTTCTCTAATCTTGACTTCTTTAATATATATTTCTTATTTTTAGGCTATTTAAATATTTTCTTATTCTTTTTTATAAAATATATACTAACTTATTTTTTAGTTTCTCTTATCTTATTTTCCTTATCTTATCTTTTCTTTAATATTACTATATATATACCTAATTAGTACTAGTTCTTATAACTTATAATTAGACTTTCTATTTATTAAATACCTAAATATTTTATTTTATTTTTATT